CCCAGCTACACCTCTAGAGTTGTACTGCTGTACCCACCAGGGTCTAGGGATGCGGAGCTGAACAGAGGCTGGACTTTGGGGCAGTTAGCTGAGCTGTGACAGTCACTGAAGCACAAGACAGTGGGAAGCAGAGCAAGGGAACACAGAGTTTCTACCCACACTCCTAGCTAGGGACTGTGGCAGTGTCCTGTTGGCCCCAGAAAGATAACAAGCACCCCCTACACTTGCCATAACCCATGGTACCTCCTGAATCAGGTGTTTGCACTTGCGTTGCATTTTTGGAAGCTTCATTCAGGTTATTTTGAGATACTGAAATCTACTGGCTAAATTCGTTCTCCAAGTGTCTCTGAGTCTCCATTTCACAGACCTGTGATGGGATTCATCTGGAAATGTCATACATGAGTTTGCTTTGTGTCACCCAGAGGCTGAGAGACAATCCATCTCTTCCTTTCCACACTGCTGGCAAAATCCAGATGGTCCTGTTAGGGGAAGTCTCTCAGTCCTCTGGCAGTAAACAGGGCTATTGCAACTGTGGCTAGGCATCCCTTAGCTCTAACCCACTTCCTGCAGTGACAGGATGGGCTTGCTTGCGGGGCATGCAGTGATGGGTGATCACACTAGGCCACCCAGATAATCCAGGATATCTCTAGGCTCAAGGCCCAGAACCTTAATCACATCTGCAAAATCACCTTGGCCATTCAAAATGACATCATAGATTCCTGGGATCAAAGAAGTGACATCCTGCCTGTCATTTTTATTATTATTATTTTAGTCCTGAAAACTGACTTGTTAAGGTCACCCTGGAGTCTCCAGACTCTCAGCCCATGCCCATCACACACCAGACAGGACACAAGATATAGCTCAGAGCACAAAGCCTTACTTGGTGGGGCATCATTTAAGGATCCCTAGCTTGGTGAAAGAGCCACTAAAAAGTGATAGATTCCAGGCCCGTGAGGATGTCCAACCATGACAAATCAGTGGAAATCTTAAGCCCTCCTTCATGTCCCCAAGCCAAGTGCCAGCCCCCCCCCCCCACTTCCCCTGAGATGTTAAACCTGCTTAAAGGCTCAGACCAGGGTATGAGAACTTATAGCCAATTGGCTTCCCTCCAGCCTGAACTGACTCAAGACAGAACTTTGGTTTCGAGCAGTTCTGTGACAAGGTGTCTGTCATATACTTCCTGGGCACAGAAATAGGAGATAATTAATCCTTGGCAGAGCAGTGACGTTACCATAGAAACTGGAACAAAACTTCTGGAACTGCATCCTTGCTTCAGGACAGCCCATGGCTCTGAAATCAAGGTATAATCTCTGCCGGTGGACAGAGCAGGTCCGGGCAGCTGAACCTCTTCTGGCAGCAGAAGCTTGGCAAGGAGGGCCACTGCCAGCCCACAAGCCTCCATCACTTCCAAGGTGAGGAAGCAGATGACACACCCAGTTTTCACCCCACCCTGAGCTATGGACAGGAAATGTGAAGGCAGGTACAGACAGCTATGAGGTTACTTAGCCAAGACTTTTGAAGTCATCCCTTCATTTTTATCCATTTATTTAGTGGGGTTTTTGTTTTAAGAGGTAGTATCCTTGCTGGGCTGGTGGTGGCATACACCTTTAATCCCAGCACTTGGAAGGCAGAGGCAGGTAGATTTCTGAGTTCGAGGCCAGCCTGACCTACAAAATGAGTTCCAGGATAGCCAAGGCTTTTTACACAGAAAAAACCATCTCGGAAGGTTTGGGGGGGAAGGGAGATAGTATCCTTACTATGTAGCTCAGGCTAGTCCAGAAATCAGGATCCTTCTGCCTCAGTGTGCTGGGATTACAGGTATGGGTCACAACACTGGGCCCTTGAGACTAGGCAGCAGCATACTCCCCCTAGCCAGTGTCTCACAATGTGCCCACCTTGTTACATTCTCTGCCTACTCTGGCAGCTGATCCACAATTCCTCGGTTGAGGACAACAGCCCCTCAGGAGACAGGGAGTCCTTTCCTACCCTTAGGGAAGCATCCTTGGCCTTGGGTGTATAGCATCATCAAACACCATGCAGAAAAGCCAGGAGTAAAGGGAACAGAGGGGAGCCAGCTCTATCTGAAGCCTCCAGAAGGCCACTGTTCCAGCCCCAGGTGCACAGGGAATGGTGTCCCTGTGTCTGTCTGAGCGAAACATCCAAGTGAAGTGAAGCCATGTCACCTTCAGGGGCCCAGAGTGCGGCACCCTATGCACCACATGGCTAGAGAGGCCTCCAGATCGCCCCCTCCTGAAAATACTGAGGTACAATGAGGAAGGCCGCTCAGCTGATAGCATTTATGAAGGACTAAACAGGCCCTGAATTTGACATAAGTGGTGGTAATGCCCAGCATAAACCCCTTGGGCTCCACCATACCCACTACCTGCAAGGTACTGCACATGGACACCCAAGCCAGCAAAGACGCTTGATAAAGCATCACACTACAGCTGGCCTTAAAAGTGGAGTCCTCTGCATAGACAGCACTTACAGGGAGCCAATGAACTTGCCACAGGCAAGGAAACTGGAAGGGATGAGCACTCAACAGGCGTTTTCCAGAAGCCGAGAACCATTTAAATGAGTAAAGTACAGCTGACACACACCTAGAAAACCTCAGACAGCACTGGGACCTGCCCAGCCAAGTGCCCCCCCCCCCCCATAAGCCCCAATCCAACACCATCCTCGGTTCCTGTGCAGGCAGGAGCCCAGGGCAGGAGGGCACGATGTACTTCTGGGGCAAGGTTTAAACAGACTTTATTGTTACAAGGGGGACCCCACCAAGCAGCAGCAATATATGTGGTCCCAGTTATCACCATGGAAACATCGAGAGGTCATGATTGCAGAAGAGGTGACTGGAATTGAATGGCATGATCCCAGGGAAGGCCAGCCAGGAATGCAGGAAACATGATCAAGATGGGCTGGCAAGGGTGGTCTAGTCACAGGGGGAGGAAACTCCCTTCACTCCCGCTTCTTGTAGCTCTCCAGATGCGACAGGACCCAGCCCGCAGGCAGGAGGCAACAGACGAAGCAGGAAGTGAGCCCAACGGTGACTTCCTACACAGAGCACAAGAAAGAAGGATGCCTCAGGGCAAGGATTCTGTAGGCACTTGCTAGGCGTGGAGATAGACTCTCAGTGAACCAGGAGCTCAGTGACTTGGGTAGATGGGCTCCAGGGAATTCCCTGCCTCTGCCCCCTTCAACGCTGAAGTTAAAGACTAGCTGGTGGCTGGGTGTCCAAACTCAAATCCTTATGCTTGTGAGGCAAGTATTGTACAAAATAAGCCATTTCCCCAGGTCCTTGTTTTTTTTGTGTATTTTCTTTCTTTTTTTAAGTTATTGTTGTTTCGAGACAGGGTTTCTCTATGTAGTTCTGGCTGTCCTGGAACTCACTTAGTAGACCGCCTGCGTCTGCCTGATGGATGCTGGGACTGAAGGCATGTGCCACCACTGCCTGCCTGGATTTTGTTACTTTTTTTTTTTTTTTTTTTTTTTTTTTTTTTTCGAGACAGGGTTTCTCTGTGGTTTTGGAGCCTGTCCTGGAACTAGCTCTTGTAGACCAGGATGGCCTCGAACTCACAGAGATCCGCCTGCCTCTGCCTCCCAAGTGCTGGGATTAAAGGCGTGCACCACCACCGCCGGCTTTTTTTGGGTTTTTGTTACTTTTAAAGATTTGTTTTAGCTGCATCTGTGTGGTGTGTGTTGGGGTGTGAGCACAAGTGTGTGCTCCTGTGCTTTCCCAAAGGTCAGGGGAAGGTGTCAGATCCCTTGGAGCTGGAGTTACAAACACCTGGCTTGTTACCTGGCAGCCAGGACCCACGCTTAAGTCTTCCTGTAATCACACACCAAATACATGTTTCATTATGTTGCCCAAACTGGCCTGAATTCCTGAGCTCGGTCTTCCTGCCTCAACCACCCCAGCAGTGGGGACTACAGGCAGGCATGACTTGATTGTCAGTTTCCTCCTAATTCAGTGCCCAGCTGCCTGGATTCAGGACCCGCTCTCACTAAAAACAGGAAAGCTTAAAATAAAAAAAATAAAATAAAAAGGAGGAGGGCCTGGGCAGAGGTGTAGCTTCTAACAAAGCTGGGGTTTGATCGCCTGCACCACATAAAACCAAATGCGATGGCACGTGCCTGCAATCCCAGCACTAAACAGGTGCAGACAGGATTATCAGTTCAAGGTCAAATATGGCTACAAATTCGAAGCCATCCTAGGCTAGGTGAGACCCTTGCCTCAATTTAAAAAAAAGTTTAAAAAGTGAAAATTGTCCACATAGCTATCCTTCATTTCTGAGAATTCCAAAGACAAAATGGGACTTCGACATTTCTTAGTTAAAAAAAAGATAGCGGCAACAACCATTACCGTCGCTGCCTGTCAGTCATCAGGCATTTCCCACCAAAAATGGAAAGGTAAACCGGTTTGGAGAGGCTGAGCAGCGAGTAAACAACCAAGCAGGGGCTGACGGGCTGACCTGAGATCCAAGGACTTGGGGGAGAGAAAGACCTAGGGCTTAAGAGCATCCGAGCAACTTGTCCCATCCACGCCCTGCAGCCAGGCCCGAGCAAGGGCTGCAAGCCGCCCCCAGCACCCTGTCGGTCCCGCTCACCACGACCCCGATCTGCTCCCGCGGCGGCTTCGAGTGGACCTGAGCGCGCGGCACCATGAGCCGCCGGGCCGAGCCGGTCAGGCCTCTCAGCAGCAGTGGCGTCAGGACAGACATGATGGCGCCCCGACCAAAGAAGAGGACCAGCGGGAGACCAAGGTCAGGAAGTCAAGATGGCCACACCAGCCGGAAGTTCCGGCGCTGAAGTTGACGGACGCGGCAGCCCGGAACTATTTCGGAAATGACGTCACTTGGCGCGCTCCTCGAAGCAGCCAATCGACACCATCCTACCCCGATGGGAGGAGAAATGATACACCTTCTGTCCCACCTCCACCATCTTCGAGAGTGACGTCTAGAGCCACCCAATCACACAAGCAAGAAGCCTAACAGAATTCTTGACTCCTCCCCCCATTCATGTAGCTGTTTAGCATCCTCTCTCCGCAAGGCCTGCCTGAGACGGTGCTGAGAGGAACCTCCCAACTGGTCGCCTCTGCGTTAAAAAACCCTGTTAATAGCCGAGCGGTGGTGCACACGGGAGGCAAAGACAGAAGCATCTCTGAGCTCCACGCCAGCCAGGTATACAGAGCTAGTTCCTGGACAGCCAGGGCTACACAGAGAAACCCTCTCTCTTAACACACACACAGCACACACACGTTATTATATTTTTGTATAAGTTTTTTGTTTGCATGTACATCTGTGCACCACGTGCACAGAAGCCAGAAGAGGATGGTGGGTCCTCTGGAACTGACGTTACAGGCGAGCGACAGTGAGCAGTCATGTGTCACCCGACTCATTTACTATTAACGCTCTCAGAAACTAGTTTCCATGTAACTCTTAACTATTCTTAATTTTTGTTTCTCTCCTTTTGTGTCTGTTGGGGGAGATTTGTTGTTTTGTTTTCCAGACAGGATTTCTCTGTGAAACAGTCCCGGCTGTCCTGGAATTCACTTTGTAGTTGAGGATGACCTTGAACTTCTAGTTTTTCTCCTACCTCCCAAACGTTGCCATTACAGGTATGTGCCACCACGGCAGGTCAGCTTCCTCTCTTTGTCCATCTATCTCACCTCTGCCTTATTCTTTCTCTCTGTCCTTTCCCTCCCTTCTTCCTTCTTGCTTTACTAGACACACCCCTGAGCAAGTGGTTCCTCTTTGCTTTCCAGACAAGTCCCAGATCCTGGATGTTTTGTTCCTGCCCCACCAGGCTTTGGTCTTTTTACTCTTTATTCTACCTAGACCATCTTCTTTCTTTCTTTCCTTCCTTCCTTCCTTCCTTCCTTCCTTCCTTCTTTCTTTCTTTCTTTCTTTCTTTCTTTCTTTCTTTCTTTCTTTCTTTCTTTCTTTAAATAAACCTTCCTTTCTTTCTTTCCCCCCAAGACAGGGTTTCTCAGTGCAACAGCCCTGGCTGTCCTGGAACTTGCTCTGTAGACCAGGCTGGTCTCGAACTCCCAGAGATCCACCTGCCTCTGCCTCCCGAATGCTGGAATTAAAGGCGTGCGCCACCACCGCCCAGCTAGAGTTCCTTTACTACTGTCCTCCTTTTTATCATGCCACCTCCTGATGTCCTGGCCTCCACATACTAACATGGCCTTCTTTATTCAACAAATGCTTATTAGCCCAGTGGTGGGCCAGGAACTGTTCTAGACAATGCGATGAACAAGGCAGACAGGCTTCCCATCCTTCAGAAGAAAGATGTAACAATAAGAAACCTTTCTTTTTTTAATTTTTTTATTTTTTTGTGCATTTTTTTTTTAAGATTTACTTATTTATTTATTTACTGTGTATACAGTGATCTGCCTGCATGTATGCCTGCAGGCCAGAAGAAGGCACCAGATCTCATTACAGATGGTTATGAGCCACCATGTGGTTGCTGGGAGTTATACTCTGGACCTTTTGAAGAACAGCCAGTGCTCTTAACCGCTGAGTCATCTCCCCAGTCCAAGAGAGCTTTTTAAAAAGGATTTGTTTATTCTTATTTAATGTGTTTTGTCTGCATGAATGTCTGTGTGAGAGTGTCAGAGCCTCCGGAACTGGAGTTGCAGACAGTTGTGAGCTGCCATTGGGTGCTGGGAATTGAACCTGGGTCCTCTGATCAGCTAGTGCTGTTAACTGCTGAGTCATCTCTCCAGCCCACAACAAGAAAACTTTTAATGTTATGGTGAAAATAAAACTGCCTGGGCTGGAGAGATGGCTCAGTGGTTAAGAGTATTGCCTGCTCTTCCAAAGGTCCTGAGTTCAATTCTCAGCAACCACATGGTGGCTCACAACCATCTGTAATGAGGTCTGGTGGCCTCTTCTGGCCTGCAGACATACACACAGACAGAATATTGTATGTATAAATAAATAATTAAATAAAAATAAAACTGCCATATATTACAGGTCATGGTGATGCACACCTTTAATCTCAGCACTCAGGAGGCAGAGGCAGGTGGATCTCTGTGAGTTCAAGATCAGCCTGGTCTACATAGTGAGTTCCAAGACAACCAGGTTTATGTAGAGCCTGTATTAAAAATAAATAAACAAACAAAAAACTGCCTTCTGTTTGGCAGTGTCTTTGAATGCCTCAGGACACCTTCTGACCACTTCACACCTTTGCAACCTCCACATCCTGCAGCAGCTATGGTAACACTAGTCAGTCACAGGGTGGACCTCTATCCTAAGCCTAGGCGGATACCTGAGGGCAGAGGCTGTCTGGCTACCCACACTGTCTGTCTCCCAATGGCCTGATAATCCTCAGACACTGGAAGAATGTATTGTATTCAAGTAGGTAAAAGGCAAAGCAGAAAAGGGAGCAGGGCGAGCCTTAGAGCCAGGCCCCTGCAGCACACTTTCAACTGTCTTCCTCACAGTGCCATGAAGGGAGCTGCCAGTGTTCCTGAGATGTTTCACCAATAGGGAAACAGGCCGATCAAACTGTGCAGCCAAGAGGCTGCCAGGCAGGATTCCAAGGCAGGTCTGTACCCCGAGGCCGCACTTTGAACTGCACACCAGCCGCTGCAGAGAGAAAAGTCTCTAGAGCTTCAGAGGGCTTTGTCTGTTTAAACAGGGTCTTATGTGTCCTTGGCTTTAACCCCTAGGTCTTACCAGATGACCCTGAACTTCTGATTTTCCTGCCACCCTCTCCTGACTATTGGGATTACATGCCTATACAAGTGTGCCCAGTTTTTGCAGTACTGAGAATCAAACCCAGGGGCTTGTGCACGTTAGGCAAAAATTTGATCAAGTGAAGTACAACCCCAGCCCTAGAGAGCAGGGTTTTTGTTTATTTGTTTGCTTGTTTGTTGTCTGATATGCTGAGGCAGGACCTGGCTCTGTGACCCAGGCTGCCTTCACACTGGTACTCTCCCTGCCTCAACCTCCTGGATGCTGGGTTTATAGGCATCTACCACCAACCATCCCAACTTCACAAGTTCATTTTACATTCAGGGTCAATAGCATCAAAGACTTTGGCAAGGGATGGGAGCACCGGGGAGAGAGAGGGAAATAGCTTTGAAAAGAACCTCAACTCCTTGGATGAGGTGGAGGGGAAGTGAAGGAAAAGTGACAATGGGCCAGGGTGTCTGGGAGGGCAAGCTGTGTCTTCTGGATGTGTTCCCTGGTCCTAAATTAGCCTGGTTTTGGTACATCCTCAGTTACTAGCCACCCCTGCCTTTCTTTTTCCCTGGGCCCTGGCAAACAGTCTAGGACAGATAATTCTAAATTCCTCAACCCCATCTCTAAGGGACACGGAGCTGCTATCATTAGGGAAGAGGACGGGATAAGGACATTGCTGTTGGCTTCTTGGACTTAGTGGGTTCTAGGAAGGAAGGGAATAATATCTAGGTGTGAGCACAGCCATGAGAAAGGGCCTGGAGCCATCCCAGCATGAGAGCCTATCTCAAAATAAGAATTAAAAATACCCTTGCCTGGTGTGGTGGTGCATACCTTTAATCCCAGCACTTAGAATGCAGAGTCAGGTGGATCTCTAAGTCTGCAGTGACCGGGAAGAGCTACATAGTGAGAGCCTGTATCAGTTAATATTGATAACAATCTTTTTTTTAAAAAAAATATTTTATTTATTTATTATCTATACAATAGTCTGTTTGTGTGTATGTCTGCAGGCCAGAAGAGGGCACCAGACCTCATTACAGATGGTTGTGAGCCACCATGTGGTTGCTGGGAATTGAACTCAGGACCTTTGGAAGAGCAGGCAATGCTCTTAACCACTGAGCCATCTCTCCAGCCCC